CAGATGTGTTACATTGAACTTAAAAGTCCAAATTATCCCTTGTTTCAATCTGGTTGTGTGTTTCTGTTGGCCTGCCCTCCTCCTAGCCTCACTTTTAGTTTTGGAACTCTAGCCTCAACATTTGGGGGTCTGAAGAACCGAGCCCAAACTCATCAATTTCACAACTGCATCCAGAGCCAGCCTTACCACAATAATTGTGCATAAGGAGTTTCTCTACTGTAAGCTGAGAGAAGACATGAGGCAAAATGACAAGCAGGCAAGTGGGAAGGGCAGGGAACATTAGTGCAAAGCTTAAGGGACTCATCATTACGCAAAACAAACCAGAAACCACAGCTCTCAATATGCAAATCTCAGTGACTGAGCCTCTCCCTGGGTAGTACACCCTGACACCATAGCTGCTGTTTTTTCTTTAACTCAAGAAATTCAACAAGTACTCGCAGCCCTACCATCCTCTTGGAAATAAGATGAGCGTCTACATTTTCCAGAGTGAGATTAGAATCTTGTGTCACATGCATGGCACACGCATTTGCACGTGGCAAGACAAAGGACTTCATGTCTGTCTTCAGAGATGAGTAGAAACAGACACAAGCCTGAAGCAGCAATGAAGCAGCTCTTTCTCAGGTGATCTCCTGTGTGTCCCTGCTTCCCGGCTGATGGAACCAGTCATGTCCCTTGAGAATACAGGACACATTTATCATGGCACTCCAGCCAGAAGAATGACGATGGATCATTGGACGTGAACCACAGAATTTCCTCCTCTCTTGTAGGATGTCAGCTTATGTTGAGTGAAAATGACAAAGTTACAACACTATGAAGGAGTCAAGCAGAAGCAAAAAGAATCACCTATTTAGGACTCCACCATGACTGATAAGCTGGAATATACAGACTTGGAGATGGATATCAGAGGCAAATATTCCAGAACCAGGTAGGGAAGTTGCAATCCCTCAAACCTTGTAGAAGACAAAATTGCACCATTGTGTCCCAAACACACTGGGTGATTTACTGTATGTTACTGATGTGAGGGGAACTTTCCAAATAGGCTATTAAATTGTGTTACGTGAAAATCAAAAATGGTGTTTCTTGAAACGTTAGACCTGAAGAATAGTGCTAAAATAGCTTATCAATCATTTTCAAGATGATTTATCGATATGCGTTCTGTCTCTCTCTCTCTCTCTCTCTCTCTCTCTCTCTCTACTCCACAGCAGTTTATAATTTATTCTGAGAATCTGACTTTACTGAGGGTTGAATTGGGAAGCAGCTTCAATGATGAACAGTTGATGAATGTGTCCCAAGAGTTTCTGTTTCCATCACTTTCATACATGAAATCCAAGAACCTCTCAGGCTGTCTCATTGACACTTTGCCTTTCCTCAACAAATCAAACTTATCCTTGTCCATCATGGACACACTGTAAAATGTTCGTTTCTGGCAGAACTTCACAGATGTTTCTGAGACATTCTTTTCTTTCAAATAACAAACCACACACATACTAAGGATCTCAACCACTTCTCAGTGAACCATTTTGTGTTACAACAAATATCAAAACCATTATTTTAGATCACCACTGTGTGTAATCAGTAAAATAGGTCTGCCACAATGGTTGTTATGATAACTATCTTTTTTTCTTTTTTTTTTGAGTTGGAGTCTCTGTTGCCCAGGCTGGAGTGCGTGACCTGCTAGACTCCGGTGATCCTCCTGCCTCAGCCTTCCAAGTAGTTGAAACTTCAGGTGCATGCTACCATGCCCGGCTAATTTATTTATTGTGGAGATGAGGTATCTCCAAGTTTCCTAAGCTGGACTCAGACTCGTGAACCCAGGCAATCCACTCGTCTCGGTTTCTCAAAGGGATTACAAAGGCTGAGCGACTGAGCCCAGCTGATAATCTTTTATTAGTAACAAATACAGCCTTCTCATAGTCACTCAGTTGCATATACCCCTTGTATAGACAGGTCTCATTCCAATTTCTGTCCTCAATAACTCCCACACTGGTAAGAGTGTCTCCCAAACAGAGTTAGAAAAGTTCCTAATCTTTTTTGCACTCTCAATTTAAAGATTATTCTAAAGTATTGAATTGACAAAGAAAATTCATGAATTCATTTAAAAAGTAGCTATACATGGCACAGGAATATTGAGAATACTATTAGGCAATGTCAGAATTGAGCTCTTTTCTTTTTTTTTTTTTTTTGAGTTGGAGTCTCACTCTGTCGCTCAGACTAGAGTGCAG